TAGAAGAATGCTTGTCGAGTCTGAGTACAGGCTTCACATTGTTGAGACCACTTCCTGCAGGGCGCTCAATGTCAGATTCCATCATCAGCACCCACTCAATTCAACCTTGCCTTCACTGGCAGTGCCGTCATAATATTTGGAGTGACTTGCACGAAAGCAGCAGGCTTGACCATGTGATCCAAACCTCTCATTACAGTGCAGTTGTCTCAGGTGAACTACTATGTCATGGTCAACTACTATGTCATGGTCATGAACTAGGCTCACAAACAAATTCAGGCCACCTGCACACATGGCAAGTGCATTGAGTTGTCAAATTAAAGCTAGTGTTTGACGTACTGACAAACTCAAGCTTGAGGTAAACTATGAGTAGAAACGCCACACCTTCCCCCTGAACCAGCCTCACATAGGCATTGACCGCCAGAAGCTGCTGGCACTGGCCTTGGGCTCAGGCGTTGCAAGCTTTTCCAAAGTGTTTCTCGACAATGGGGCAATAGGGCAATTGGTCCAAACAATGGGACATTTGACTGCTTATTCTGTGCAACCCTGGGACTCTGCAAAAAAATGTCACCATACACATGGCACATTGCTGTCAGCCCATAGCTACTCAACATAATGGATTCAGGGAACGACTGCCTGTGACTGTGCCAGTGAGAGTTGGAAAACATGCATGATGTGATATCCTTGCTGAGATTGGGTGGCCTACAAAGGCCTACAGTTACAGCCAATCTAGTGAAGTCAACACAGGAAGATGTTTCTGCTAATCTGTTCAGTATCGCCCTTTGCCAAGGAAGAGGTCGAGTTTCCAAGTGCGACAGCTGAGCAGGAGATGCGGCTCGAGTCAGACAAAGAAACATTATTGCAACAATGGTATTATTCTGCTCGTTCACTGTTTGGTCCACACTCAAATTGCAACCCTTGGGCACAAGCCGGGCCTTATTTGCATTGTCGCCAAAGCCCTGAGAGCTTGTGAGGGAGGGGTGAAGAAGTTGTTGGGGGCAGGGGTGACTCACAAAGTAATTGAAGGAGCTGGCCACTATCAGACTCTGAACCTGGCTGGCGGCCCAGTATGGTGCATGTCCATCAATTTGTCTCGAGGCTCATGCAATGCAAAGTGTTTTGAACCCTCAGCAGCAAGATGTATCACTGTCAGGAAAAATCAAGAACATGTCAGCGAGATGCATCACAGGCAAGCCATGCTCACTCAGACCTTGCTCTCCTGCAGGGTGATGGGTGGGGTGCTCAGTGTGGCATTGCCTTTTGGGCGTTCTTCATTTCGATTGGCTTGCTTGCACGTATGAAACAGCACACTGTATCACACATCTTACACATGCAGGGCCGCCACGCAAAGAAGGATTTGAGGGCAATAAGGAGTCACAAACAGGTACTATTTTAGTACCTGGCCAGGCCCCTTACAAGTACCAATGGCCAGTGCATTGTGCAAGCTGAGCACAATCCCGTGGTGAGTTAATTTGGGAGGCAAGCTTGTGCATTAGTTCTCATCGGATGTTCTTGTCATGGCATTCTCCAACATTCAGTCAGAAGAGTTGCGAACCATTTCAACACTCAACCTGTAAACGTGCAGCAGAGTAGCAAATCAAAACATGTCCTGTCATTGCCATTGCAGCTCGTTGAAATTTTGCTACTTTGCTGCATAGCTTGCAGGCATTGTTCCTACCTGACTTGACTCTTCTGGCTGTTGTTGAAGAACGATCTTCAGGTCAATGTGTTTCCAACACACCAGAATCCTCCAGATCAAAACATTGTTCCAGAGCGGTTGCCCATGCATGTACAACCTTGAATCTGCCATGACTGGGGAGAAGTATCCAACATATTGCCGTCACTGTTTATCTCTGAAGCACGTTTGACAGGGCAGCGCCGAACACAAGTTTGATGAGTTCTCCTTCAGCCAACTGCTTCCAGCTCAGTTTGCCAGTTGCCCTTTTCTTTGAGGTTTGGGATGCGCCTTATGGAGTCCCTTTCTGCATCATACGCTGCAGGTGCACCGGATTTTTCAGCCGACAGCCCCTCCATGATCGCATGGCCTCGAACTCAGAGCAGCCAGCCACACATACTGTGAAGCTAGAATTCCCCTGCTGAGGCCTTAGTGCACTGCCATCGTGTTGTATGCTCAGCTCTTTGTGTTGCTGCAAGGGAAGCATGCATTCACTCACCTTGACAAAGCTACTTTGCCAGCACTTGCCATGTCTTTTTTCACCAGTTATGCTATGAGACTTAGAGCCGAAAGCCTTGTGCACAAGGCTCCTGGCAGTCTTTTCATCATCTTCCAGACGCTGGCACCAGCTAGAAGCCCAGAGTCTGCATGTGTGGGACACATTGTATGGCATTCCCTGCATCTGACCGACTGTGAATGTCTTTTATGTTGGCTCTAAGAATCCAGTGTGTGGACATTATGTCACGGTTCCAAACAGTCAGCATCAATCTAAGATGCACATAGCATTGATCTAAGATAGCACACAGCATCAATCTAAGATAGCGCATCAATCAATCTAAGATAGCACCGAACACTCAGCCATCTAAGATAGCACCGAACAGTCAGCAATCTAAGATAGCACAAACAAAGACGTGCAACAAGCGCTGTCAGCAATGCTGGTGCCTGGGAGGCATTTGGCTGCGATTGTGCAGGCTTCTGCGAAGCCCTTTGCCGTTGGGCCTGTACGCCCGATGGAGGTCCCAGAGGCATTGGTGGGCAACAAATAAAGGTTGGGCTAGCCTTCTTCTTCAAAGTGTACTAAAACACATGACCCTGTTCATTTGCTCTAGACATACTCAGAAGTAAAGCTGTTACTGGTTGAGTTACGTAGATCTAAGCTACTGATGATCTGCTTGTTGTGGCCCGGATTGTTTTCCTCCACCTGCTCCTGAATTTTTGGTGGAATTCAGGCACTTCCTGTAATTTGATGTTTGAGGGAAGTCCGCCTGGCAGGATGAGAAGCCAGAGATTGTGACACCGCCGGAGGGGCTTGTGTCTGAGGAGGAGCAGCAGCCGCTGGAGGTGCTGGACCAGCCACGGTGCTCGGCGGAGGTGAAGCAGGAGCTGCATTCCCCTACCAGCCCGGCAGCTGAGAAGGCATCCTCGGAGAAGGAGTCGGAGGACAAGGACAAGGGCAAAGACAAGGGCAAAGACACGGGCAAAGACACGGGCAAAGACCAGGGCAAAGACAAGCGCAAAGTCAAGGGCAAAGTCAAGGGCAAGGACAAGACGTTCAAGCCCATGGCCAAGCCCAAGGCCAAGCCCAAGACATCGTCTTCCTCATCATCATCATCTGTGGCACAGCCTGCAAGGCCAGAAGCCACGTCGCAGCTTCAATCGACACTGGAGGAGATTGCGGACCTTCTCTTCAATGTCACACGGATGCTCAAGCGGCAGGAGAAAAGAGCCCCTAGCCTTCAAATAATCAATTTCTAGTCAGTGTTGGTTGTCATGTTCAGTGCAGATTTGTGATGTCACACCAGCAACTGTTTGAGACAAGTCACTCAGTGTTGAGCTTTCGTTCATCATGCTGGGAATGCATGTTCTCTCGCAATGAAACTCAGGACACTGAGCGGATGATCATCCTCCGTGAGTTGCATAGCCGTGAGGCCCGTGCGTCTCATGCCTAGAGATGGCATTGAGAGGTAGCCTGAAGCCTGGGATTTTTGGTGCAGGGCATGATGTACACCCTTCAAAAGTTGGCTTGAGCAACAAGACAAAAGCAATACGAAACACAAACATACACAGGGGGCATTTATGTGAGGCTCCTCAGAGACTCAGCCAACACATTGAGAGCACTAAGGCACCAGGTTCAGGTGGAATGTTGCTTCCAGGCCTCAGGTTTGACCCGAAATGCTGGTCAACTTTGTTGGTGTTTTGCAGCGGTCACATTCGAGCCTCCGGCATTGCATGGACAAAAATATCGATGTGAACATGGCCATGCAGCTACATAGTTTGTGTCAGGGCTTGTGCACTTTGCATGAGTGCATACATTCAACTTCATTTCTGCAATACTCAGGTCAGCATGCATACAATGCCTCCTTGTCCAGCACTCAGACCAAACTGCAACTTGCTGGAATCGATCATCAACATGGGACATGTAGCACTGCCAGTAACTGATAGCTGGTTGTTCATCCTGAGGCCCCTTGAGGCTTTGATTTGGCAACAAGGCCTGCAGTGAGCCAGAGCCTGAGCTGAGTTTGAGATTTAACACTCACCATGTGGCAACACAGACTAAGCGGTGAGATTGGCTGGCTAAACAGGTCCATCATGAAACAACTGACGCGTCAATGCATGAACAGTTCTCAGATTCAACTGTGTGCCTTCAGCCATGGCATGAGCTGCACCTTTGTACTGGCAGGCCATTGGTTCTCTACTGCGCAACGTGACCCGCAGAGAACATCAACCAGGCTGGCACTCAGCGTGTCCTCATTGTCCACCACCAAAATGGTTTAGTGCCAAGTCTAGTTGACACACTTTGAAATGAGTTTGTTTAAAAATTCGGGGAGGGTGCCAGGATGTGACAACTCATTTCATAATGAGATCACAAGAAATGGCACTACACACCCTGGCCAGTGCCATTTCTAAAGAGTCTCATTAGCAAATGAGTTGTTGTCCGATGAGTTGCTGGACAATTGAAGTTTTGGTGGAAACCTGGGCTGCAAATGAGTTTTTGAATGATTGTGCCACTTCAGAGGGTGGTCCCTTGATAGCCCCCAAATTGGCACTAGCCACCCCCACTAGTGCCAAGTCTGAAGTAAAGGGTATGAGCATGCTGCCAAGTCTAACACATATATTAGATGACCTAAAGAAAAGGCAGCATCTCATACTTGTTACTTGAGAATTGGCACTGGTGGGGGTGGGTAGTGCCAATACTTAGCCATGCCCATCACATACTGTTGAAGTGGCACAAGCATTCAAAATCTCATTTTCTGGAAGGGACACCACCAAATTGCAATGTTCAATTCACCGTAGCTGTGTAGTGTCTGAAAGCAGCCCAGTGTGTGCAATGTGGGGGCAGAGCAAGGAGCTCAAGGCTGTCACTGCCAAGCTTGAGGCTTGGGCACAGGACACCTTCGGTGGCAGTGGGAACCCTGAAGTGGACGACGCAGTGGATGCTTGCCATGGGCTCATTTGATTGCTACTTTGAATGGCTTGCCACAACTTATGATGCATTCAATCATCTTTCATGTCTGGAACTGCCTGCTTCTAGGTGACTACTTGTCGAAGCTCTTTGGCGGGAACCCTGCTGCTCTCAAGGACACATTTCAGACGCTGCTGGTGCGGTTGGACAAGCTGCAGCCCCAGCATATCTTTACGCGGCATGCCACACAGGCCACTGTTCCTTCCCCCGACGATGAGTCCGTGGAGCTGTATCTCAATCCTTGGCACTTGGGATATGAGCCATGCTTCTCACTCAAAGGCCCATCGAAAATGGTCTACATCTTGAGGCTCTTCCGAGAGTTTTTGGAACGCCCCTTTGACTCGGCCAGCAACCCCATACTGATCAACTTCAAGGGTTTGCAGCCTGGTGCTCCAATTCCGTCCTTCCAGGTGTCCATCTCCATCGGCTTCACAAAGAGCATCGCGATGAAGCTCATTTTGCTTGGGGCCATCCAGACCAACTTGACCGATGGTGAGTTGACCCTGTTGGCGCCACATTTGCGTGCAATGTTCGCCTTCAAGTGCATCTACAGGTCCACTGGCAATGCCAAGGAGGACAGATTCAGGGCACTGCAGGAGAAGTTTTCTGAGAGCAGCAGGCCACGACCTGACCCGGTGCAAATCTCAGGAATCCTGCTGCAGCAATGTGTTGAGGAGGGACGGGCTTGGAAAGATGGGAGTGGTGACCTGATCGCACAGTTCAATGCTGGCTCCGGGGTGGACTGCAAGCGCTTGAGCGACTTGGAGCAGACGGTTGTCACCATGTACCCCAACCTGATGCAGGAGTCCCAGGAGCTGATCGCTTACCACTGGAGCAACTACCCAGCGAAAAACAGTGGCCTCACCTACAAGCAGCTTGCGTGTGAACAGGTTCGGTGCGGCAGCAAGCCTCGAATCGACTGCGAACTCTGGCGGAGCATCTTGAGCACGGACATGGTCAAGGTGCATTGGTTTGTGGCCAGGCGCATCAGGTAGTTTCTCCACAAGCTGGGTGATGCCAAGCGTCTTCGCAAGCGTGTCAACTTGACTGCAAATGCAGCTTCCTTCAGGGACCAAAAGGATGATGAGACGTGCTGGGCAATCACTTGCTTGTTTGTGCACTACCTGCCAGCCTTCAAGGAGCTCTTGACCGCGGCCCAGATGGATTCCTTGGGGAACAAGTTCATCCGGGGCTACTTGGACATGGAGCTTGTGGAGAAGTACAGGGTTGCTGACCCTCAGTTGACTGCATCTTCCTTCAGGATGTTACAGGAGTTTGGAGTGAAAAGTGGGGTGGCCATCAAAATCGATGAGGCAAAGGCCGACCTTGACTTGCAGAAGGCAGAGCTCAACACGGCGATGGCCAAGCTGAACAAGGAGCAGAAGAAGTTCTTGGATTTCAAGGAGTCGATGGCCAACTTTCAGCGAGCTGGCCTGGGGCTGCAGGCAGAGTTGGTGGACAAGCAGAAGGCATCGCAAAGGGCTGCAGTTGAGGTGCACCAGGAGACGCACTACCCGCTTCGTGATCTAGCTGAGCTTGGCCATGCCACCACGTTCGTTGAGTCCTGTGCGAACCGCTTTGCCAATGAGGCCGGCATTGCCGATGAGGAGTGCCACAGGATCTTTTGGTTGAACAGCTCCACCTTGGGGTACGACGCCGTGAAGAACACCATTGAGGCGATCAAGGAGTTCTCTGGTCACATTGCCTCGGACCCTCGCCGAAGCTGCATGATCATTGCAGCCCCAACCACTGGGGCTTTCGGCAACGAGTACTCAGAACATGATGTTCATGAGCAAGCGCTCAAGATCCTGGATGCCTTGAGAGATGTGGACAACAGGTTGTTGGTGAGAGAGATCACGGTGGTTTTTGACCCCAGCACGATCCCGGCTCAAAGCAAACGGCCTGCCAATCACAAGTTCTACATGGCTGTCAGTGATCAGGTGGGCACAGACAAGGAGCTGTTGTCCATCTACAGCAAGTCTGTCTTGTGGAGGAGACAGACAGTGCCTTGCACAAAGCAATCAGCCCAGTGCATCATGAACCCGATCAGGAACTATGTGGATCCCAGGCGAGATTTCTCAACTGCTGGTTCCACAGGGCCTGGAGATGTGAGCCGACCGGCAAGGCGGAAGCAATGGCTTTCGGGATGGACGCTGCCTGCGGCTTTCCTTGATGGCATCTGGCTCAGCATGGGAAAAGGCCGCAACTCGATGGTCGCCTTCATCGACGTGTTTGCCTATGATCACAGCACGGCAGAGTGCGTGATGAGGAGGAGCAGCAACAGCACTGAGCCCATGCATTTGTGGATAGGCACATGCTGGGCCGAAGCAAACACCCGGGATGACCATCAGCAAGGCAAGCGAGTTGAGAATCAGAAGATCTCGAGATGGTTGCTGGTGGCTGTCAGGCGGAGGCTGCAGAACATGGCCGAGCAAAGCATCATGAAGATCCCGAACTGGGAGGCCTTGGCGCAGTTTGTTGACAACCGCACTACACCAGTGCTGCAGGAGAGCGATTTCCAGGTGACCTTCCCATCAGGTGCCGACACCCTTCCCTTCACCCAGAAGTTCTTGGATGTAATGTCGGAGAAGCTGGTCGCGGATGACCTGAAGGAGCAGTGGGCACAGGTGGTGCAGGATCACAATGCCTTGTACAACCCTCAGGGCAAGGCGTATGATGGGACGAAGCGCGCAGCCGAGGGGGGAAGCACAGATGGGCCCATGACCAAGAAGCAGAAGACCAAAGAGGTGGTCACGGTGGAGGACAGCCTGGAGGACATCAAGAAGAAGCACAAGGTTACGGCATTTGCATATGGTGGAGGGCAAGTTGTCATTGCAAGTGACGGGCACATGTGGTTTGCAGCCGGGGAGGCAAAGGCCACACTGTCACCTATGGACCCACCTTTGGCCTTGGTGTTTGGCAGCTTCAAGATCAATGAGGACTTTCTTTCAGCATGCGCCGTTTCTTGTTTGCCTCAATTATGAACAGTTTGCCGGCCAGGATGCAAAAAAGATCATGCAGGGCAAGGCGTTCTACTATGAGGTTGGCTTCAGCAATGATGAGGTGATGGGCCACTTTCGCAAGGGCGAGGAGCCGGGAGAATCTGCCGAGACCTTGCGAAGCTTCCTGTCAAAGCTTGAGTCCGGTGGCAAAGACATCTCCAGCCTCGAGATTGCATGCCACAAGGTTGAGCCCAAGATTGAGAAGGCCTGCTATCATAAAGATTGAGAGTTACCCAATATTTGATACCATTGTGTTTGGTCACAGTCATGATTTGTTGCTGCACGCAGGATGCTGCAGGCGATGTGACCAAGCGGGCATTTGAAGTGAAGGACGCGTCTGCCATTGTGTTCAGCCCGCAGCCCACACCACGAAAGGTTGCTTCTTCCAAGCCTCCGACTTGGGAGGATGCTGGCAGCCTGCTGTTTGCTGCCTCCTCGTCAGTCTTGGAGGAGTTCAAAAAGCAAGAGCTGATTGTGCTGGGCCAGCGATGGGCGGTGACTTCGTCAGAGCAAAGCTGGGGAATGAACCCAGACAAGCCCGGCCTGTACCCGGCATGTGAGCTTGAAGTTCCTGCAGGCAAGATTGCCAAGCTAGTGTAGGCTGCCATGCAGGCCACTGAGCCGACCTGATTTTGGCACGAGCAGGTAGGGCCAACAACTGTGCAGATCTGATCAATCAGAGAAAGGGTGAAAACACTGTCAGCCGGCTTGTGACTGCCTCCATTGCATCTTGTGACAGATCTTTCATGGAATAATGCCAGTGTGTGTGTGTGTGTGATTGCTGAGCATGTCGCAGTTGGTCTGATTGGTTGAAAATTGCCAGGTTGTACTCTTGCAGCTTTTGCAGTGCTGACTGGAGCGCCCTGCCCCTTTGCCAGAATGGCATCGTTCTTCATGAACAATGAGGACCTGGAGGGCCTCGAGGAGGTTGAGAACATGGACTGGATGTCCCCTGGCCCGAGCAAAGCTCAAGATCCTGGACAAGGCAAAGCTGCAGCTGCCCCGTTGCCACCTGTGTCTACGACTCCTGGGAGGGGAAGTGCATGGCCAAGCTGGTGCACACCGTCGCCCACAGGTCGCCCTGATGCTGGCACAAGTTCAAGAATGCCGCCATCTGCCAAGAAGGCGGCTGAGCACCATTCGGCTCTGGCATTGGCTTATGCCAAGAAGGCAGCTACGGAGAAGGAGGAGGCAGCCTGCATTGCGGCCAAGGCAAAAGCCCAGATGCAGCTTTCTGCGATGAACTCTGTGCTCAAGCGACAAGGCCACAACCCTAAGACTGCCCAGGAGCTTGAGAAGTCTATGGAGAAGCCTCAACGAGAAGACTGTGGAAGCCCTGAGCCCACGAAGATCATGGTGCCCACTGCGGAGACAACAGATGATGGTCCTTGTCCTGTCGAAGGTCCTGAGCCCCCTGCAAAGAAGCGCAGAGCAGCGAGGGGTGAGGCTGGCACTTTTGCTGGCAATCGCCCACCGACCAGTGAAGAAGGCAGAGAGTTGTTTCAGCTCAAGAAGGTCTTGTACAATGAGACGCGGGAGGAGCTCCAGAAGAAGTTCCCTGGAAAGTTGATCCAGATCGGGAAGACTGCCACGCAACAGAGGTACTGGGAGCATGTGCGGCATCATCTCAAGAAAGCCTTGCCCAACTGCGACTGCAAGTTGGCTGACAAGAGGCCTTCGAAGCCAGAAGTCCGCGCTGAGCTGAAGAAGGCAAGTGAGAGCTGGAAGAAGGGCCTTCAGGCCAAGTTGGCCAAGTAGTCAGCCCAAGAATGCCTGACTGAGGCCTCAGATTTAGTGTTACTTCACATGTAGATAGGCTTGCCTGCAAGCAGCCCGAGCCTACAGATCCGGGGGGGGGTGGTCTGTGCGAGTGACTGTGATGCCAGCCTACTGGGGTGAAACAGTGCCATCAGATCACTCTTTGCATTTGTTGATGAGCGCAGCATGTCCGATCATGTCATCATGCTTGACATGTTGCAAATTACAATGTTGAAGTTGGTTGTTTGCCGTGATTGTGACTTGACTTCAACTTGATGTTATTTGCAGTGGCAGCATGTTCGACTCAATGACTTAGTCACTTGCTGGCCTGGAGTCTTCAGCAATGGCCTCAAGGGACCCAAGCTGGATGACACCACCCGTGCATGAGCCCAGGGCTGGACGACATCAATCGAAATCCTCCTGGCAAACGCCACCAGTGGCTTCTGATTCTGTCGCACACCAGCCTGCCTGGATGACACCGTCGGTCTGCACAGATGCAGAGTGTGGGCCGAAGCGGAGGCGCGTAGAGGTTGCCACTCCAAAGTGGATTCAGCCGCCTGTTTGTCGCGAAGATTCATCTGCAGCAGGGCCGGCAAAGCAGCAGCAGTGGTCAATGGCAGAAATTGATTTGACAGTTGGCATGGCATTGTTGTCTTGTGGGAGCCAACTGGCAATTGAGACAGTGGACATCAAGAATGAGCGGCCAAAGGTTGAGATGCTTTGCAAGAAGCCGTGCAGCATGGGCAAAAGCAAGCAGGGAACCTGCAGTGTTTGCGAGCCTGGTTTGGACGTACAAGAAGCACTTACCTTTGTCAAGGTGTGGAAATGTATGACTGGTGAGATGAAGGGCCATCTATTGAGTACAGTGTACCAGACAGGCAATGAGGACTTTGCAGCAAGCCGTGTGAAGTGGCGCTTTTTGGGCAAACGCACTTGCGTCGCACGTCTGTGTGCAATTTTGTCAATGACGCCTCGGACCTGTTACAAATATGTTCATGGAGTGACGGATGGACGAAGCAGGAACTTTGGCCACGTGACTCCTGCTGGCATCAGTGTAGACCAATTTTTCCTGGAACTTTATCACAGTGCAGCTGAGTTTTTGCCGGAGAGCACACAGTTTCACATCGACGACGTGGATTCAGCAATTGAGGAGACGGAAGGCATGACGCGAGAAGAAGTTGCAGTTTTGAAAAGGCTTGCTGAGGAAGAGAGCGACCTGCTGCCTTTGGTGGGGTGTGATCCGGAGAAAACCTTGGTCAGCAACATGGCAGTGCCTGCCTCTGGTACCTCTCTGCCAATCAGATACATTCAGCACCAGCACGTTGTGGATGTGTGGTGGTTCTACTTGTCATGGATGAGCTGCAGGGCACCTGACACGAATCCAGCCTCCTGGTCTACATTCTGGCGAAAGTGGGTCTCTTGCCTTTTGGCTGGACTTGTAAGTTTTGGGAGGTGGTTGGAGTCAATTGCTTGGCTTTTAATTTTTTTTCATTGCCCTGAACCTTAGCCTTCACTCCTAGGCTGGTCCTTCAACATCGGCCTGAGAAAGAAGTGCCAGCATGCACAGTGTGATGTGTGTTGGGAATTCAGTCAATTCATTCATGCTGGGCGAGCAACACCTGCCGAGAAGCGCTTGAAGGCAGCCGAATGGCAGCATCACATCAAATCTCAATATGCTGACAGAGTCATGTACTGGCATCTGAGATGGGCCAGCCGGGCCCCAGACAGCTCCATTCTTTGTTTGATAGTCGACGGCTTGGATCGCTCGAAGGGCACATTTCCGCAGTGGTCATTCCGGGCGCCGAAGGTTCTTGAGAAGCAGCATCGCCCACGACTCGTCATCCATGCTTGCATGAGTCACGGATACTCTTGTGATTTTTGGATTGCGGACGAGGAGGGGACTTTTCATGGGGCTTCTTATATCCTTGAGATCCTTGTTCGGTCCCTGGCACGGGTCAAAGAGATCCGGGCCAGGCAGGGCTTGCCGATGGTCCGGCATCTTTGCGTCCAGTCAGACAACACAGTCGCTGCATGCAAGAATAGCGAAGTGTCGCTATTCATGGGAGTTGTAGCTCGGCGATTCGGCTTCGACACGACAAATGTCTTCTACTTGCGCAAGGGGCATACGCACGAGGACGTGGACTTCGTTTTTTCCTTGCTGCTTGCCAGAGTTTTGAGGCGAATCAGGATCCACACTCCACTTGATCTTGTGCAAGGGATCCATGCTGGAATGGAGTCCTTGCTGGCGAGCAAGGGCTATCAGTGCTACGTGGAGCACATCACACACGTTCGCGACTTTAACCAATGGCTTGGAGCAATGGGCATCAAGCCATACAACTGCTTTGCGAATCGCCGTCACACCGAGACACCTCACAGTTTCACTTGGAAGTTCAGAATGGACCTATCGAGGGAAGAAGTTCTGCAAACGGGCAACTCACCTTTTGAGGTACACCCCCTTGATATTTTTTGCATCTGCAAGCAGTTCATGGCCGATCGCGCTGGTCAGCCGCCAGTCTTGATGATTCCCAACTGCCGGTACGTCACAGCAGCCTTGACTCCCGCTCCGACAAGATCAATACAGTTGCAGATTGATGACAAGCGAAAAAAACAGCTTCGACAGATGGCAAACCTTTTGGAGCAACTCTCAGCAGAGTGGTCAGCAGACCACTCCTTTTACCGTGCAGCTGCAGAGCTTCGGGTGATGGCCAATGGACGACCGCAGGTACCATCGCGAGATGGCTTTTTGGAAAGCATGGCTGCAATAGCCGCAGATCATCAACGGAGACCTCTGACACTGAATGTCTGGCACCCAGTAGTTGCCCACATTGGATTGGAAGTTTGCATCATGAACTTGAGTGTCTCAATGAACATGTGAGTGTCTCATTGATCTGTGCATTTCGGTGAATCGTATGAATGTCTAATTGCACATGCGACAAGAGTCTTGTTGCCAAGGCCGGGCCATACTATCCTCACCTGCCTGCGATCTCCTGGCAAATGATGGTGAAGTTTTGAAAGAAGTGTAATTTGGCAGATGACAAGGAGAGAAGTTGAAAGAGAGTGAAAAGCGGTTGTGATTGTGTGGCTGAAGCTAATTGATCAAGTTTGATGCCTTGAGTCACAACGGATTGAAGCATGACGCTTGATTGCAACGACCGCAATTTGCTTCTTGCATGTTGTCATATGTGCCATTGGTCAGTTTTGATGGCCCAAGCAGCTGCATCATGGCATCTCTGTTTGGCCACACGGCCAAGAGCATTGTAGAGAATCCTGAGTTTGCGCCCCTCAATCGAGACCTTCAGGTGTGCGAGATATTTTCAGGAGTGGGGTCCATCCATCGGGCTGCCACCAAACATCATTTGTTCAGTGCTGAATATGACATTGAGAGGCAGCCTGGTGTGACTGATACGGGCTCAGCCCAGAGTGAAGACTTTGGCTGCAAAGCTGGCTTTGAAAATGCGGTGAAGCTACTGATGAGGTTGGAGGAAGGTGGGCTGTGCTTCCTTGCTCCCAGATGTGGGCCTTGGATGTTCTTGAATGTGCACAACACCAAGCGAGGAAAGAACAACAAGTACTGGGGCAACACCAGAAACAAATCAGTTCAAGCTGCCAACAACATGGTGCAGGGCTGCATCGTTCTGATCGAGCTGGCAGAGCTGAGAAAACTTCGCCTGGGCTATGAGAACCCGACCAAGAGCTACATGTGGCACTGGCCACCTTTGCGGGACACTCTCAAGAAGCTGGGCTATGACACTGTGAACACTCACAGGTGTGCATGGGAGCCAAGGAAAAAGGGCATGCGGCTTTGGAAGAAGTACCGCTTTGCTGGCCAGGGCGATTGGATCCAAGCATTGGTGAAGCCATGTCCTTGTGGTGATCAGGGGCATCTCAGGACGACAAAGAAGTACACAGATGCCTCTGGGAAGAAGCGCTGCCAAGGCATCAAAAAGCGCTTGAAAGAAAGTGCGAGCTACCCATCTCTCCTGGGGCAAGCCATTGTGAAAGCATGGCTGAGCAGCAGGCATGATGGTGATCAAGCATCATCGACAGCGAAGCTTGCGAAGGGTGCGAAGGTGCAGAAGGTGATGAAGGCAATGAAGGCAATGAAGGCGGTGAAGGCCAACAAGGCCAACAAGGCCAACAAGGCCAACAAGGCCAACAAGGCCAAGACGGTGAAGAAGGAGAAGGTGAAGAAGGAGAAGAAGGAGAAGGTGAAGAAGGAGAAGGTTCAGAAGCCGCCAAAGGTTCAGAAGGAGAACACTCCCTCCTGGCTGACACCTTGCTTGCAGAGTGCTTCTATGAGCATTCAGAGACCACATGTGCCATGCTCTGCTGGCCCTTCATGGCTGACACCGCCTTGTGAAACAAAGAGGGTGCAACAGAAAGCCCCTGCCCCGATGGCATGGATGCAGCCATCCATCAGCTAGGTACTGTACAGATCCAATCAGCGACATGTTGAAAACTGTGTGGAAAAAAACTTGCCTCCAGCCACCATTTGAAGCTACGAACAATCAATCCCAGTTTTTTCCTAGACCTCTTTTTGAACAGTTCACAAGACCAATGATGTTATGAACCTTGCCAGTATGCAATGAACCACCTGTGCTCTAGATATATGTGCCTTCCTATTGTTGGTTCATTGCATTATTGGCAATGTTCATGTGGCATGTGTTTACCATGAAAGTAATTTCATTGGTCTTGTGAAACTGTACAAAACAGTGGGCAATTCAAGGGTGCTTTGTTTTGGCCTGATCCCACTCCAACTTGGGCTCCACGCCAGTTGCTCTTGCACATCGCTGTCAAGTGTGCCTGGCACTTCCACAAAGGTGGAAATGTACAAAGACAATTGCACAAGCGACTTAGGGTTCAGAAAAGCAATGTCCACACTCCCTAGCCAACGCTTGTCCTGCATTTGCTGCAGCAGTCACTTCAATGGGAGTCATTGAGTGTTGTTGGCAGAAAGAGTCTGTTGTAAGGGAGCCTTACTAGATGTGCCAAAGAGCTTTGTTGAAAGATGTAACACTGCAATGTCAACACACTGAAGCCCAAGTGTCCAGCCCATCAAGATGTGGGCCAGGAATCTCTTTGGGAAAGCTTAGTGTTAGAGGCAGAGGCATCAATTCAAAAAGCGGTTGGCAGCCCGCACAAGGTCTGAAACCTGCCATTGCGAGCCAGGAATGGCATCAGTCATCCTCAATATCAGGCCCGTGTGTGTGTGCTGCCCCATCAATCTACCTCAGGTGTCCCTCTCGTCTAGTAAACATATATTTTAGGTTCATGTGCCAAGAAAGGGATGCATGTACCAATAAACCATGGGCTGTGAACAGCACTGTCACTACTGCGATTGAGGCATTTGCAAATAGTTTGTCAGGTCTTTCATGTTGGCCCCCTGTAGTGAACAAGCGAATGCAGCCGGGCACACTGCCTTCAAGATGCCTCCCACCACCCAGCCTTGTGCAGGTCTATCACTGATGCCTAGTGTGGCACTGAGGTCAGTAGGATTTGGTGACCATAACTAAAGTCAAGCTGGGGTTTGTGCCACTTCAACAAGAAGGTTGGCTTTTTGAGCTCCGGAAGGTCCTTGAGACACACGTCCCTTGTTTGCTTGACATGCTGGCACGTCGAGGCCTGAGACTCCATGACCAGAGCCATGACCTGGCAGGCACGGACCTCCCCTTTCGGCCAAAGAACTGGGGTGTTTTTTCTCCAGAACTCTGTTTCCACTGTGACATTGCCATACGAGCTTGGCCTGTGTGTGGGAAATGCCTTATCGCACCAGTGCTGAGTATCTTGCAGCCAGTGCTGTAATTTCGTAGCACTCCACACTGCCAAAAGAAGCGTGCTAGTTCTTTGGATGAGGGTGAATGAAGCTTTCCATTGGCTGTTGCAAGAGAAACATTTTGAAACTCCTCAGTCTCTCATCCTTTGTGATTCATTTGTCTGCATAACCATGGCAAAGCCCTGCCAACTCGTTGTGTAGTTCTGCTTCTTGGTCTCAACAGCTTTAGCCGGACTCTTGTTGAACACATACCATGACCCTGGCACTGAACGTTTCATGGCAATGGCTCCCAAACCAGCTGAAGTGATGTCATTGCACTGTTGACGTGTCATTGCAAACTTTACAGTGGCTATGCGACCAGTTCACAAAGAGAGCTGGAGGAAATGACAGCTGCCCCTTTATTTTGTGTCAGTGCACATAATGCACTACTACTCCAGTGATGCCAGAAGCCATTTACCATCAGTCTCAGAAGGTGCATCCTTTGTTTATGATCCTTTGTTTATGTTCCCTTTGCTCTCAAGCACAATGGGTGCCAGAACTTCAGAACAACTATGAGACTCATGTCAAGTCAGAAAAGTTGCACTCACTCTTCTGCTGTTGCTAGTTGCCAAACATTGGATTAGAGCCGAGTGTCTGTTGGATTGATTCAGGACCTGACTGTATCGGCAGCAATGTAGGTTTCCAGTGCTCACAATGTTTTGCTGAAGGCTTCAGATCAGAAGTAGGATTACATCATGTCCATCATGTGACAACAACTACTTCAATCCAGCCCAGCATGATCCTCCCACCCTTGGTCTAGCCTGGATTGCAGCCGTCCGGCCAGGTCATCATTGAGCCAGAGTGAAAAATGTCAGCGCGCAAATGTTCAACATGCTGGAGCTGAAGGGTCCTTAAAATGGTTAGTTTTCAGAGACGTTTGAAAACAGGCCATATTTTGTAAGTTTTCTTTACCCTGCAAAGCTGGATGGGATGACAATGCATCTTTTGTCTGACAATTTCCATGTTCTGGGAAGGGCTGCCATGTCAGGACACCTTGTCACGTATTATACAGTAATGTGTCTATTATCTTAGGTTTCATTCCCTGGCACAGGGTTCACATGCTTGGACCAGGATCGATGGGTCATGTGATTTGTGGTCCTGGTGATGCCTTCAAAGAGTAAGCATGATGCGTGAAATGATCACAAGGCATCACCTGGCACAAATCACATGCAGACAGCAAACATGTACTATTATACATATACTTGATTTAATGTGATCGATCCTGGCCTCAAGCATGCGAACTCCATGTGCAGGGAATGAAAAAAGTCCTTATTATGCATAGCTAATCACTTCCCATTGCAACTTGACAAGAAATCCACCCCCCCAAATCCAAACTATCAGATTCAAAAACCAAACTATCACAATCCATGATCATAGGTTTGTTCCCAAAAAAAAGGCATAAAATGGCGGCCAGGGAGCCTGTCGTCACCTGTGGCCAGCATCTGTGGCCAGCACCTGTGGCCAGCACCCAGCCACAGCGCGGATCCAGCTGCCTGCTTGGCAGCCTTTTTGGCGCTTGCTCAGCGCCTCCGCCGCTTGCTCCGTGGCCGTCCGTCGCCACCCGCCTCCCCCGCCAGCCAATCCCTGGCACCACCCGATCGCCTGCTGCCGGCAAAGAAAGCTGTGCTCTGCGCTTGCTCACCCTTCCCTCACCAGCCGCTGCCCTTCAGCCCCCGATCGCGTTTTGCGGCCGGTGTGGGAAGGTTTCTCGCCAAAAAAACAAATCAGGGCAATATGCCAATTTTTCAAAGGTGAGCCCTCGTAGACTTTCCATGTAAAATCGTGGTTTTGACACGCGACGACCCAACCTCTCGCCGATGGAGGTGCTACAGGGGGGCACGGATCGGGGACACCTCAACCTACCTGGGGGGGCCTGGGGATCAACGCAACATCACGGGGGTCGCGTGCCGAGCGCGGCGTCGACCCAGTAGAGGTAGCGGCCGCGGTCCGTGGACAGGAAGCTGTCGGCCAAGCGGATCTTGTAGACGGCCAGCCGGGCGTCGCTCTGCAAGTGCAGCGACTCTCCCAGGTCGACCTCAAAGTCGCTGTCCGAGCCGGCCACCCTCTTGCGGCTGTCCACGTAGATCGTCGTCATCCTTTTCTTTAGGAAACCGCCCGTCCGGCGGACGACGGGCGGCTGGAGATGTTCTCACACTTCGCGTTGATCAGCGTGGAGCTGGCGAACAGCTTCTGGCCCAGGAAGCTGAGCGCCGCTCCCATCGGCGTCTTTTTCAAGCGCGAAACGCTCTTCGAAGCGCTTGTAGAACATTTCGTTCTTCGGCTTCAGGTAGTACACGAAGAGGAAGCTGTAAGGTTCTCGGGTCGCCTGCTCATACAGCCGGTACAGCTGCTTCTTCGGCAGCCTCGATGACGGCGTCCAGCTCGTGCTGGTTGCGCAGCCTCCAGCAGCAGAGGAATTGCATGTTGACCCGCACGGCTGCGCTGATGAGCCTCAGCTTCTGCAAGCTCACCCAGGTGCTGATCTGCATGTGACGGCCTCGGATGAAGAGCGTGTCAAGGGCGCCATGCGGCTTGTGGAGTTGCGGCGTGTCAGCAAAGTCGTCGATGACTACAAGCACCTGGTACAGTTTCTTCATTTCCAACTTCTTGGACGCTTCCGTTATCTTGCGCTGCTGCTGGATGATGCGCCGCAAGGCGGACTCATCCCACTCGTCCCAGTAAGCCTGCTCACGCTCCGTGTTCACCCCCAGGTCCTGCTCGATGTACTTCTTGACGGGGATCCAGCCATCATCGATGTTGACGCTTGGGCTGAAAACGTAGATCCGCTCAAGCACGCCCTTGTACTGCTCCAGGATGAGACTGATGAGCGCCACAGTTTTGCCCGACTTGCTGGGCCCAAGGAAGATGCCCGTGCATGGCACTAGGGGCACCACGGGGTCCGAGGCTTGCTTGCTGGTGTACTCAGGCGTGGGGAAAAGCTTGATCTTCCCCATTCGTCCTTTTGCGTTACGCAAGTTCCGGAAGCCGGCAGCTGAAGTATACGCGCTGGCCTATCTGCGGCTGCCCTAACCCAGCAATGCAATCCTGTTGCCGGCGCAGGATTGACGGAGACGCAACCCAAGGCTCACATGCAGCAAGGCCAAGAGAATCCACGCTTCTGCTCTGAGTTACCGTTGCGCTTAGAAAGCACTTATCATGCTTTTCGACCCACAAAGCTCCGCAACAGAAACGCACTTACAAGGCCAGAAACAGCACTTTAAGCCCGGGCAACTTAAACTTCCGAGACGCACAGAATGCGACTAGGACCCGTTTTGCCTGCACATTGAAGCAAGCTGAAAACCCTTGCAGAAGTGCAAGCAGAAGGGCTGTGGCCGCACCGCGCAAAACCACCAAATTTTTGCAGAATCCCATTTGCTGAACGATAACCTCTGAAGATGCGCTGTGAGCGGTTTTAGATTTCACAAATAACAGAGAGAG